TTACGGTTCTTAGAATCTTTTACGGACTGTAAAGCGCACCGTAAATCCTGATTCTAAAATACCATTTTTGAAGTCCACTTCACAGGTGACATTTACGTCAATAAAGCTTTGTACAGACTGTAAAGCCTTCTGTAAAAGCCAAGACTGCAGACTTCAACAAATCTTTCTACACTTTTTTTATTTTCTCTGAATTACGCACATTCGAGGTGTTATAATTTTATAGGTAAATTTTTGTTTTAAAGGACTGCCTGGGCTCTATAATGGTGATTTGGTGTCATTTTCTTGCATGAGTTGTAATTATGTGTCTTCGAGCTTGAATTATGCCTTATTTTGGGGCAGAGTTCAATAAGATATTTAGGATCCTTTGACGGAGTCACTTTTAAGATTCTCAATGCGGGTCCCACAATTCTATTTTATCACGATTTTTGGGTTGTCTCCAATTATTGCGATTTTAATGTCTAAACGTTCATTTTGATGTTATGTTCTTTTTTTTATAATGTGGTAGCAATCAGAGGTTGTTCAGAAGGACAAAGCTCTAGAATTATAATTTTGGAGCGCGTGCAGTCTACGTTGAGGTACACTACGACTTACGAAACTTTAGATTTAGCTTATGATTTTGAATTCATGTTGATTAGCTAGTTTTGGGATGAGTTTCTAGATTGTATCGTGTTTAGCTATTAGAATCCACGCCTTAGGCCTTATTTTTAGGTTTCGAGAGTTCAAGCATGCTTATTATTATTATTGTTGTGTGTTTATGTCTTACTTTGTAGCTTCCATGTAATTGTGCATGTTGCTGTTAATAGGTTCTTATTGGCGTTATCCTAGGTTTAGGTTAATAGTTGCCTTAGACTCTCGTTTTGGAGTTGATAGGCCAGATAAACTCTCTAACGTCGCTTCGAATGACTTAGCTCCATGTAGACTAATATAGAAGACTTGGGTCTAATAATGTGATCCTTAGCTAGGCATCAACTCAATTCTTATGACCTTTCGTTCATAATTTACCCTTGTGATCAACTCGGACATGTTCATGGATGTTTTTTTATCCTTTTTTGGTTGTTTGGGGTTGAGTCTTAGATTTGGAGCAGGAGCAGGTTCATGGCAACTCTAGAGATGGTTCCGCTCTATGGTATTGACCGGTTGAGAGATAGCAGAGGATTTTGGAGTATTTGGAGGTTTTTTTCCATGGTTCAAGGTCTGTGTACAATCTTATCCTCCTAGGTTTGAGGCCAGGGGCGGACCTATAGTGGTTCATGAACCCACTTCGTTGAAAAATAACATTGTATACATATGTATATTTAATCAGTTTTTAAAATTTTATATGTATATATTAAATTTTGAACCCACTAACACAAGTCTGAAGCTTAGCCGAGTGGTTGAGGGGGTTCAATTTTCCTAGCCAACCCGGGATCAAATCCCCATTGCCACATTTTAGTTTTAATTCGTTATTTTGATATATAAAACGTTCACACACAGTTTTGTCCTCTATGTAGGTATAACTTTTGTCCTTTTAGTTACTTAGAAACTATAAAAAGTAGAACAACTCTTAACTTTTACAATTAAAAGTCCAATAGTCAACAATTTTTGTCCTTTTTGTTTTTAATTTTTTTTAAAAAAAACTCAACCAAAAAGGCACTAATCCCCATTATTCTCAATTCTAAAAACCTTTTGTCTTCTTCTTTGTTGAATGTTTTTCGCTCTTGATTCTAGTCTTTATATATACATATATGATTATTGTGGTTATTTTTTATTTCTTCAACTAAAAAATCCCTTATCATTCTAAAATCAACAAAAAATTACAAATAATATTAGGTATATTTCTATGTATTCGATTCTGAAATTAAGGTTATAATTATTTTGTTTAATATTTTGTTTTTATTTGTTAAATGTTGAATGAAGAGAAATCATTCATAATATTCTTTTATCTTCTTAGTTTATATTGAAGCCTAGTTTTTCGTCCATCTTGTTATTTACCGTCTCATTCATAAGTCAATGTAATTTTTTTTCAAATGTATTAACATTGTTTAGTATAGTCAGATATGTATGTTGTTAGCCTCATAAAAATAACAAATAATATTAGGTAAATTTTTATATCTTGAACCCACTTCGTGAAAATCCTGGGTCCGCCACTGTTTGAGGCCTTTGTGTAGGGCTGGGCAAAAACATCGAAAAATCGAAATACTGAATCAAACCGAACTATTTTGGTTTCGGTATTTCGGTTTTCGGTTCGGTATTCGGTGTATATTTTTGTATTTTTTGGTATTTCAATTCGGTTTTCGGTATGTAATTTTTGTGTTATTCAGTATTTCGGTTTACCAAAATATATTATATTAAATAATAAATATTATAATTTTAATTAAATTAGGTCAAAAGTCTTACTACAGTAGTAGTGTAGTACACTGTACACCTTTTGGCTTTTGGTCTTTTCAAATTTTTTAGTTTTTACTTTTCTAACTTTCTAAGTTCTAACAGCAGCCGCACTTCTTCTTAAGTTCTATCACTACGCACGTCATACAGTTCACTTCCGACTTTCAAGTCCCTCGTCTTTCCCACTTTGGCACAGTTCCGCTTCCGGTGACTGGCGTCAACCAGCAGTAGCTGCCAGTCCCGTCGACCAGCAGCACACACAGCAGTAGCAGCCGCCAGCCACCAGTCCCAGTCGACCAGCAGGGCGCAGGCAGCAGCCAACCTCTCCATGCAACAGTCGGCGACCGGCAGGCGACAACCATCAACTTTCAATTATTTTTTTCTTATAAATATATAAAAATAATTTTAAGTTTTTGACCTGCATTTAGTCAATTACTGGAGAATATTTAGCATTTGGATTTTGGTCTACCCATTAAAATAAACTAATAAAGATTTCAGATTCGTATATTTTTAATTTTTATATTTAAACTCTATTTTTTTATTTTGATTTGCTCATTTGTATAATTGTATTTTCCATCAAAGGGTCAAATGACTCAAATCTCAGACCAAAAAAAAGAAGAGCAAAAGTAATAAAGAAAAAGAAACCATGAAAAATGCAGCCAATTATCATTTTCTTTTCCTTATTTACTCCTTCATATTCTAAGTGTGAATTCATTGTGAAATGATTTTTTTATTATATAGATGGCTGAACAAAATCAATCAAATGTGGGTGTGGCTGATCAAAGTCGAATAAGTATGACTGGTTCTACGGATAATATACCTACTAATAGCAATGATGCCTCAATTGGCACAGAGGAAACAAGAAAAAGAAAAGAAATGGATCCTAGGTCTACTATTTGGCAACACTTTGAATTTTTTTTTGAAAATGATTTATTAGTTAAAGCAAAGTGTTTATATGTAAACAAAACTATGCTGCTAATACAACTAGAAATGGAACAAGTGGACTGAGACAACATTTGACTAACCGATATAAAGTGTATAAGCCCCCGCCTGTTGCACCTGGCATTCAAAAATTGTTAAATATTCAAAGTAACAGTTCTTCGATAGAGACTTGGAAATTTGAGCAAGAGATATGTAGGAGAGCTTTTGTTGAGATGATAATTTTGGATGAACTACCTTTTAGTTTTGTTGAAAAAGAAAGCTTTAAGAGGTTTATGAGTAAAGTCCAAACTTTATTTCGGATTCCTTCTCGTAGAACCATAACAAGGGATTCTTATGAAGTTTATGGTGAATTGAGAATGAATTTGAAAATGTCTTTTAGAGAAATACAATCAAGAATTTGTCTCACAACAAACACATGGACCTCGGTGCAAAGAATCAATTATATGTGCTTGACTGCTCACTTTATTGATCGGGATTGGGTGCTTCATAAAAGAATATTGAATTTTTGTCCTATCACTAGTCATAAAGGTGAGCATTTGGCTGAGTGTATTAGTAATTGTTTACTTGATTGGAACTTGGACAATGTCTTTACTGTTACGGTTGATAATGCCTCTTCGAATGATGTGGCAGCTTTAGAGTTGTCCAAAAAATTAGATATGTGGGGAACTAATATGATGGAAGGTAAGCATCTCCATGTGAGATGTATGGCTCACATACTTAATTTAATTGTGCAAGATGGTTTAAAAGAAATTGGTCTTTCTATCAAACGGGTGAGAGAAATGGTGAAATATGTTAGATCATCTTCTACAAGAACAAGAAACTTCTTGAAATGTGTTGAAATGCAAAAGATAGAATGTGATAAAATGTTGTCTTTAGATGTGCCTACTAGGTGGAATTCCACCTATTTGATGTTGGACACGGCAGAAAAGTTTGAAAAGGCTTTTGAGAGGTTTGATCTTTATGACGGTAATTTTAATTCTTATCTTGCTACTGATGTTTGTGAAGATGGAAATATTGCAGGTTCAACTCAA